TATAATTAAAATTAATTATCTTAAGAAATTTAATGGTGGCAAAAAAACCTTAACATTTGTATATGCAAAATGGGTAATTTTTGTCCATTGCTTTGATATTCTTGTTTTGTTGATGTTATATTGTAGGCTTACATTATTCTGTCATCCTAACAAATTCCAGGTCGTACTTATTTGTTTCATTTTTATGTGAAGTAAACTCATACAATAAACTAATTCGGAGAAATTGGACTAAACCCAGTGTAAATTCCATTACTTATTTTCAAAAAAAAAAAAAAAAAAACCAGTGTAAATTGGACTAAAACCCGTATAAGACACAACTTCTAAGTTGTAGGGCTTGATCTTTGCCAACATGTCAAAGATTTCAGGCTAGGTCATACTTCAACTTTCTTATGCTTAAATAGTTAAATCTTTATTTATTACAAGGGCAATTGGTTTTTCTTCATGAAAGCCGTATCTTTGTCCACTTTTCGTTCTCTTTTCTTAATGGTTAATTTTGACCATTTAGAAGTTATGGTTTCTAAATAGTTTATCCTGGAATACAGATTTATGAAGTTGGGAGCAAAATCTGGAGAACCAAAGGGGAGGAGCAAGAAGCTGCCAAGAAGGAATTCGTCGAATGCTTTAAGGTACTGGAAGCAGAGCTTGGAGACAAGCATTACTTCGGTGGATTAAACCTGGGATATGTTGATGTTGTCTTGGTCCCATTCTATAGCTGGTTCCATGCCTATGAGCAGTGTGGAAACTTCAGCATTGAGGCAGAGTGTCCCAAGATAGTTGCATGGGCTAAGAGGTGCATGCGGAAGGAGAGTGTTTCCAAATCTCTTCCTGACCAGGAAAAGGTGTGCGGATTCGCTTTGCAGATGAGGAAGAGGTTTGGGATTGAGTAAAATGGGATGACAAGTAGTCGAATTGTGGCTTTTTCTTTTCTGTGTTTCTGTTGATCAATAAAAAGGGCACTTAGTTGTGTCTTTGTGGCTGTTGGGATTGCATTGCTGTTTTTGCTTGTCTGATGCGTGGGTCCTTGGATGTGCCCATTGTTGTGTTGGATCTTTTGTTCAAG